CAGTGACTTCCTTTTAATGGAAAAAAAATACAAGAGATGGCTAGATATGCAAGATTCATTTCTCAGTCCTTGTAACTCCTCTCATATGGGAAACAACCAATTTGTCATAGGTTTATGATCCAACAGATGTTAATATGCATAATAGCCCTTACTCTTAGGTTTCCCACAACAGTACTTTAGGTCTCAGCCCCATTACATATAATCACTAAGCTTGTTTCATAATATTTATGCAAGTCCTAGTTTTCAGCGTTGTTTGTTATTTTTAAATATATGTCCCCTAATGTTTTCCATCTCTCCTCTGGTTATATACACAGTTTGACTCTTTAACTGGCTAATTAATCCAACTTGTTTTATTCCACGCCCTACATAATTTCAAGTTAATTCGCTGACACCTAAGGTCAAACACAGAATCAATCACACAGCCTTCTTAACATTAAACGATAGACAAGATCTACATTACAACATATTTACGATTCTAGATATTCTTTTCTATCTTAAGAAATATAGAGTTAGTTCTTGACTAATTTTATTTTCGCGTTTGTAAGACGATATATACAAGCCTGTTCAGAATAGATGTGCTTCCTGCTGATCATCAGAAAAATAATGGCAGGATTGATACTAACAGGGAGGAGGGGGGAGAGGAAAACAGAGAAAGAATAAGTCACAATGGAAGCCACTAAAGAAAAGGAGGGTGATTTAGGGAAATAAACATTACATGCAAGTTAGGAGCTGCAGACGAACATCGATAAGTTTAACTGTATCTGTCTGCAGGTTAGACCATTTGCTCACAAGAAAGCGGTAAAATAGCAGGACATGGAATTATTAAGGCACATTGCTAGATGCTAATAAGAACGGTGATCTTTATGATACACATGGCTTGTTTCATATACTAGACAATCGTTTTATAATTTCAAGGTGAACTATGACAATATCAAAGCCCTACTTGTGATGGAAAGCAAAATATGACATGCAAATTGGATATTCTACTTCGTCCTACTCCTGTTCCAATTCATGTTGGCTGGGTTTGCAGTAAAGATTTACTACACGTTGTTCATTTAATAATTCTAGTTTAACTTTACAGAATTTATAGATGACACAGCTATTACTGCCACACTATCTCCTTTTTCCACTGCTTGACATTACCGACAATTCTGTACTATATACACTATGTGGTTCAATACCAGAGACAGTATATACTCAACTAGAAACCAATCTACCCACATATTACGACAGAGTAACTATAATAAAGGCTGAAAGGCAAGTTTTGTAAATTGGATTAAAGCCAACTATTTTCTGTCAGTAATTTAAAATTGTAGTTTAGTAAATAGCGCTGCAATATTACTCACGGCCATCAGCTGTAGTCAAAGGTTAGTTACCTGGTACTTATCAAAGCAATATTTGAAGCGAAAAGTATCCATCTTAAGTTAAATAAAGAGCAGGATCGGGGCCAAAATGAGAAAAAGATGAAAAATACTAAACCTACGTTACGTCACATGCAGTCCAGATTACAATAATATAAATAACTTCGTTTATTCCCCTCACAACTCTTAAATGAGCCCCAAACTGGGCGTTTCCTATACATACTGGATAAATTATAAATGGTACTTGGAAGGTAGGGAAGTCAGGTGGGTACATGTTTGCAGTACTCCGTGCGATGTCCGATGATTATATCTGTGTGCAGAGGGTTTGGGGATTGTTGTTTTTTTGACTGTTGTGTTGGACGCTGATACAGCTCTTTCTGTTTTATAAGATATGTCTCTTTAGAATTGTTAACAGTAATTAATTACAAACAACATGCTCCTTCCTACAAACATTTTAAAAGGACATACAAGGCATCAGGTGGTATGGTGCTACTTTTCTGGCTGGTCAATTTCAGCTGCAAAAGAAAAAGAGGCCTTCACTGTCTCAAAGTAAACTATTTTTGTGACTATGACCAGTCACTTCTGTTAGCTGAAATTATTAACAAAAGAAGGATTCTTCTTCTTTAAGTGTCCTATGCAAAGATTAGTAAAAGAATATAATATTTATGGGTCAACTTCTGCAGTGACTTAACCTACATATAATTCAATTAAAGTTAATAGACTTGAACTAGGTGTAAGTCAGCGCAGAATGTATTTGCAAGCTACCTAGTGCAACACCCTATTCTAAATAATATTGTAATATAATGCCTGTTTTCAGAAAACCAGTGTTATTGAAAACATACATTTCTGGAATTAACTGTGAAGGTAGTTAAAAATCACACTTCTGCCTAGAAAATTGTTACCCCCTATTGTTACTTATAACACGTAGGTTTATTATAACAGAATTTTAATAAGTATTTGCTCTTTTTTCATCTTGTTTGCTTTGTGCATTTGACAACAATGTGACGATAGTCAGTTTTACTATTTCCTGTGCTATTCACTGTAACAGCCCGTTCATCAGCTTCCCTTGTTGCTTGTGTCAGTTTTTCACAAAACAATAGGGAAAAGAAAAACATTTTCAAAATAGGAAAATGTGGCTGTGAAGCCACGGAACTTTGCCCGGAGACTCAGACGCCTAAGCAGTACTTCTAACTACGTTTAACTTGCTTTTTGACTACCTATATTTCAGATTGACATGTCCCTTTAAAAACAAATTATATTTCTAGCATTAGGCATCTTAAATCAGGCCCTGGACTTGCGCTGCCTACGCATACAAAACTTGCATTGTTGTCAATGGGAGTTTTGCCTAGTAGGGAGTGCAGGATCGGCTCCTTTAATTATCTGATATTGTTTCTAAACACTTCCATTTAACAACATCTATTGAGTTAGCCAGAGTGTGTATTAAAATGAACGTTTTGCTTATGCATGGAAAATAGATTGACAGATTATTTATCAAAGGAACATATTAGGTATACTTATGTGGGAGTCCGGAAACTGACGCCGAAGTACAGCCTACTTTTCAGAGCGATGACCTGTGTGGAATTCAGGCTTCTAAGGCTCACCGATTTTAGAGCAATTCGGTATTTAAAATCATTTACAATTCAAATTATTTTAGTCACCTCTGGCAATAAAATCCTCACGCCCTCTCATCGCTACTTCTTTCTCCTTTCTCCTTTGACATACAAGTGGATCCCGCATTTCTTCCATTATAGTCATGTGTATTTTTCACTGAACATGGCACTTTTCAGTTTGTCGAGGATGCTAGAGACAAGAGCAGCAAAGGTTTCTGCCCTGGATTATTGCAGTTCACAGCTAGAATAATTTGACATTGACCCTTTAGCCATGACCTTGTCTTGTGAGGACCTGGAAACTGCCTCCTTTCGGGATGAGAGCTACACTCTGTTGGCCCGATGCTGCTCTCATTGACTTCAGTGGCAGGTCCCACATTTACCTGAATGAGAAAAAGGACCGGGCCCGGTGACCCTTCTATGGACTGCCCACTTGAAGGCTGCTATGAACATGAACCTTTGTCCTTAACTAGTGTCCTGATATTACAGCAAGAGAGTGTGGCAGGAACGGTGCCTGTTGCTACTTCAGCGGAAGGCAAGAGACTACAGCGAGGGGTGCCTGCCCACAGACACATTTTCACAGCCCTGGGGTCCTAGGCATTGGCCCTGCAGCAGTGTCAAGGGAAATCTCCCCTTTAGGCCTCACCAGCGGCCCTCTTGCAAGCGATCTGGGGGTGGGTGGGGGGTTGTTCCTCTGGGGCATGATTTTAACCTTGGATGCCACACGAGAAACAAGAGGCTGAGTGTGCAAACTGCCGCTCACCGCTCTGCCCCGGGCTGCTGGGGCCTGCGCGGTGCGTAAAGGCGAAGGGGAGGGTGTGCGCCGACACAGGCCTTCCTGCTCGCCTGGCGGCGGCACAGCAACTCCGCCGGGCCTCCTTAAATCTCTGCCGTTAAAATGTGGGCGGGTATTTCAACTCAAAAAGCGCTCAAATTTTTTTTCTTTTCAAAAAAAGCTGATGAGGTTAAAACAGGAGAAGGGGAAAGAGAGCGACAGAAACCGGCCGGGTGTCGGGGGCGCCACAGAAGCCGCGATTGTCCGGGCAGCCGGCGGCGGGTTTGGCTGATCCTGGCGAGGAGGAAAGTAGCTGCTGTCACTGAGGCGGCGGCTGCTTTGCAGGGCTGGGACTGGGGCACAGCCGGTTAGCGGCCGCGGCAGCCGCTTGGCGCAGGGGAGCCGGACCTGCGCTTCCCTGCTTCGGGGGGGATCTGGGTCACATCGCAGCCCAAGCAGCGCCCCGGAGAGCCGCTGCCTCCTCCCGCTCGCTGCGGAAAGCGAAAGAGGAACACCCCGATCCACGGAGCCAGCGGAGCCCTGCGGCACGGCGAGCCATAGGCGGGAAGGGCTCACCCCGCGGCTTGCAGCTGTAATGCCGCCGTGTACCTCGGAGATCGCCCCGGCCGGCTAGATGGAGCAGACGCCGCTGCTGGGCTTCTCCCCCTTTCCGTGAGCCCTGGCGGAGGTGCTGGCACCGGCATGCAGCCGCCCTCGGACAGCCACAGGACCCGGTGCCCTTCTGAATGCACCGAGCCAGCATTGCTGGGGGCTGCCGAGCCTCCGCCTAGGGCGGCAGCCGCTGGGGACCACGAACGCGTTCTCTTCCGAGGCTCTGCGAGGAAGATTTGTTCTGCTGCTGAAACCGAGACACGTCAGGGTGAAGGCAGCTAGTGTGTGAGCTGTGCGGCGGATCAGCCTCCCGCTGTCTCCCCTTGGCTTTTTCTTTTTTTTTTCCTTTTTCTTTTTTTGCATACTTGGCTTGGAATAAACGCAGCTGCCTGCGAGGAAGGGGGGAACCCCAACCGATAACGGATGCATACGGCTTAAGAAGATTTCTCTGCGAAGTTGTTCCCGCTGAGTCTCAAATCTCGACTTGAATAAGGGTGGGTTGTTTTCTTCTTCAGTCTGAGTTAGTCTCCTAGGTATGTGTATATATATGTAACACATATAAGATATTATATATTAATATATTTCCCCTTTAAAATGGCCAAAGTCCATAATGTGAGTTACTCTGCGTGTAGAAGCAAAGAAATATTCTTTCAAGTGGAGCTGCAGTTTTGCTGAATAATCACGTGTGAATTTAGGGGCGGGCGCTTGGCAAGCAGTTTTTTACGAGTATTTACTACAAGGTCTACTCCAGAAGATTAACCATCCCAGTCCTTCTGTCAGTCTCCGATGTCATGCCTGGTTAAAAAAAACCCCAAACTCACCTTTTTTTCGATCGTCAGTCACCTTAAAGAATGGCCGAGCCTTTGGGGAACGAGTTGGCGTCCGCAGCTGCAAGGGGGGACCTAGTGCAACTTACTAATTTGTTGCAAACGAATGTAAACGTCAATGCCCAAAATGGATTTGGGAGGACTGCGCTGCAGGTTGGTATCCAGAGAGAGAGAAAATATTTCATCACTGCTACCTACGTGACCCGGGTTGCTGAAAGACAACGTTCTAAATAGGCTGGTGTAACAAAATATCTGTATTTTTTTAACCTAGTTGGTTGCCATATTTTATAACTTTAGTGGCTCTAACTCCCTAAAATGACGTACTTGAAATACAACTGGCCAAAAACCATTATTTTAAACGGGGATCATCCTCAATATCAAATAGACTGTGAGTTTAATCCAATTTTATTATTGGGGGAAGGGGAAGGAAGGCAAAGAAAAGGTTGGCGAGATGAAAAGAAACCATCCTAGCTGAGCACTGTTTCATAGATTTGTAAACACATACGTATTATTATTTGAGGTTTTGTGTTGTTTTTAAAAAACATACGGTAGAAAAATACATTAATGTTCTCGATTATTTATTCTGGTGTGGATGGTACTTTTCCTTTTTACGGTGTTTGTGACGAATGACCTTTCTGCATTTGGACACATGCTGCACAGGCACTGAGTACCTTTTAGATGTACATTAACAGTTAGACGAATGAGTTAGAGTTCAGTCTGAATCACTTGCCTAGCCATTCATAATTAAGGCTGAATAAAAATAGTATTTTCAGACCGGACACTAGTGGATGAACTCAAGATTTCATTTCGGAGGCTATACGATTGTATGTCCTAATTTACAGTATTTAGATTTAGAGGCAGTAGTTGGAACGGATCCAACCGCTAAATATTGGAATTGGTTAAAGTTTTTTTCTCTTAGGATCATCATAATGATGGTGAAAATGTTAGAATACAGACGAAAACGTGAAACTGGCAATTTTTAACTAGGGTGAAATTCTGTGGCTATTTATACTGTACACGGTGCAGGGAAATGTGAAACTAGAGTCATAGTTTTGTTTTTCTAAGTTCACACTTTTAAAAACATGTCTTTGTTTTAAAATACGAACTACTGTTCACTTCTGAAATGTTCTTTTCAGGCACTGTGTTGTTTGCGACTGAAATCCAGGCACTTACTGGGTCTTTGGCTTAAAATCAAAATGCAGGATCTGGAAAAGAGGAAATTCTTGTCTGAACACAATAATCATTCTTATTTTTCTGTTTCAGTTAAACTCAAGAACTATACGATTATCCTTGCACTATTATTATTATTATCACATAAGTAGGGGATTGTGTGACACTGCAGGCACCTTATAAGAGAATGAAATAACTTGTATCGAAACCTCACACAAACTAACTTCTGTAGGAAATCAGGAAACATTTAGCCAAATTTTTTATCCTTAAAATGAGGCTGAAAAATTCAGTTGCGCTGCAGTAAATATAGGGCTTTAAAAAAATAACAATCACCGGACTTACCTTGAGAAATATTTTACACTGGTATACCACCCAGCTATCTTAAACATAAGCATCCATCTGATAATATCCACTTTTATTGCAGCTTAATCATCACTGATTTAATGAACCATAACTCCAGTCAAAACAGAGTTGTCTGTCTACTTATTTTCAGTACGCATAAACCTGAAACATGCTGTGGGTAGGTGACAGAGATCAAGAATATTGTCAATCAACATTTTCAAATATTGTTCACTCGGTAATGAACCGGATGAAAGTGAAATTATATTCTCCTATGCAATTATGCTAATTTAAACAACTACTTATAAATATTTTCCTCTGCACTTTTTCTTTTTGATGATGAGTACTCATGCAGGCCTCAGATATTGAGTTTCCAGTATGACCTCCTTCAGGTTTGTTCCACAGGTCTCTCTTACCCCACCCCCCTCAACGTCCCCCACCCCCAAATTACAATATCACTGATATTTGAAGCCACAATTGTATCCTAAATCCGACTAGCATTACCTTTTATATCACACTGAAGTTTTAGGGTGCGCAAGGAATCGAGGATGGGCTCCCCAAAAGAATAACAGATACGCCCAGGATTTACCAAACAATAAGAAAAAAGGGGGGGAAAGAGGACGATGCCCTCACTTATTTTCCAGAGGTATAGCCGTACCTCTTACAATCTCTATCCAGAATTGAAAGGGATGGCAGGTAATGTAAAGGAAACATTCAGTTATCTCTTATCACAGATAACCTTTCCCCAATCCCAACTCTATCCTATCCTATAATAATATGTATTTTACATGTGCCTTTTTCACAAAGCCTAATACACATTTATTTTTCAATAACGGCAGATTTTCAACATATGCCGTGTAAAATTTGTAATTTGTGGTGACTAGTGTAACTGTAATCCTTGTTTATGCTAGTAAAAGAAAGCTTCTTTGCAAGATTTTCAAGATATCGGTTGAAAATTTCTAAAGAAGTAAAGAAGGTATTTTTCCCTTATCTGATGTTGATAATAAATTTGTCTCCTGCTAGAGTAGTTGAATACTTGGTCTTGAAAAAACATAGACTGTAACATGGGAAATTATAAACGATCTATCTTGTTTCATTCTTTTAAAGGCTGAAGGGACAGAAGTTCTGGCGAACTTTGGGGTCAGGCCAAGCCACTCAAACGCCTAATCAAAGATGTCCCTGTGCTCAGTTATAATAGGTTAATGATGTGATCAAACAAGGTTAAAGAAATAAAGTTTTACTTAACAAAAAGAATCATTAGGAACACTGATCGCTCTTCTGAAGAGGGTTATTTTTAACAACATACATTGACAGATTGCTTAGACAGAAATTCTGAAGCTCTGAGATAAAAATGTTTGTTTTACAAGAACTTATGTGAACTTTAAGTCATCGCTCTTAAGTTCTCCATTTTGGGCAGCACACAATGAAGCACAGATCTTGCAGAAAACGTTGAAGGATTATTTTCTTTATATAGAGAACTACGGGACATGTATACGGTCAGACTGACATTTAATAACAAGAAACAGACAATTTAAACACTTATTGGAGAGTTTATCCTACATTTTGTGTTACTGAAAGCATAAATATCAGAGTCTCAGAAAGTTATCCATCTTATACTTAACGAGTTGAAGTTAATGAAAGTTTCTCAATATTTATGATAAGTAAAACCGAATTATATATAGATTTTAGCAATGAAAAAGTTGAGATAGAAGGCAACATTATAAAAAAGCATGATAACCTCAATATTCCACACTAGCTCATTTTGATATTAATCTCCTGTGAGATAGAAAGATATTTCTCACCGAAAGAATAAAATTATTCGTAAACTTACTGTGGCTAGTATAGAAATTGGAAAGTTAAGTTTACCCTCACATCAATTTTCTATCGGGGTCCCTCTGCATAGGTAAAATAGATCCCCAACAGTGACAAAGCTCGAATATAAAAATGAAGATTCTAAAACAAGTGAGTGAAACAAGCAGTTCTAATATTATTTGGAGTATTATAACTCTTATTTTTCCTCTTTAGGTCATGAAACTTGGGAATCCTGAAATTGCCAGGCAGTTGCTAATTACAGGTGCTAATCCTGATCTGAAAGACAGTACAGGGTTCGCTGTAATTCATGATGCAGCCAGAGCGGGTTTCCTGGACACGCTGCAGACTTTACTGGAGTTTAACGCTGATGTTAACATTGAGGATAATGAGGGAAACCTGCCATTGCACTTGGCAGCTAAAGAAGGCCACCTCCCAGTAGTGGAATTCCTTATTAAGCGCACAGAAAGCAAGGTGGGACATCGGAACAAGAAGGGAGACACTGCCTACGACTTGGCTAAACTGTACAAGAGGAACGATGTAGTTAAACTAATGGAAGGCAGCACTTTAAGTGCAGAAGCTACAGATATGAATTAAATCAAACACGAACAACTTCTTATTTGGACATTAAAGCTTATAGTCCTTGTTTTTAATAACATTTATTATAACTTTTTTCTTCTTCTTTTTTTAAATAACTAGTGCAAGTCTGGTGAAACTGCAAAGGTGTAGATTTTGTGAAAATGAATATATTTAAAAATCACACCAATAGCATTTTCCTGCACCTGCCATCCGCACAATGCTAGAAGAGACACAAATGGACATATGTTGATCGCTTTTGCTTAGTTCCTGCAGTGTATAATTTTACACTTTCTTCGTTTGTTTTAGGTCACTAATACTAAAAAAGATAGATGCTAAAATGCTTTATGTTTCTGACAATTACGTTTTTAAAATGTTTTACTGTGATATTTTTTCTTAAGATCATGCCTAGCAATTTGAAGCACTGCTTCTGACAAAACAGGATATTAAAGGGTGTAGCCCGTGGTTCAGGCAAAGCTTGGATTTAAAGGACGTTTGGCCTGTAAAGACAGCAGGACGGGGCCCTACAAGTGTTAGGAAATAGCTGCATTTGGACACTAATAAGAGCTTGTAGAACTAGGTAATTTGCTTTCTAAACTGAGATTATACTTTTCTTTTTCACTGTATTTAATCTTTCACAAATCTGCTTCTGAAATTGATGAACAGAAACAATGTAAGTGGCTTTTTTGTTTGCCAGAGGTTAAAACAGCTAAGCTTGGTTGTTCGTGTTTTCTGTGCACTGAACAATGCACTTTCCTAGTTTCAAAACAAGCAGCAGACAACCGTTGTCAGAGGAAAGGGTATAATAAGGCTGTGATACCAACAGAGAGATCCTAGTTTTCTGGTCATTCCACAATCGAAGAGAAGGTAGACGCTATTTAAGAAATATTTGCTTTCCACCAACTTTTTATTTTAATTAACCATTTTACTATAGCTGCATCTCACAAAACGTGGATATTTAAATACAATGGAATTTAGAGGGTATCACGTTTGCTTTTAATAACATTATATTATCGCTTGCACGTGAAACGCAACACAAGCCTGAATATTCGAATTGGCAATACGGTTGGTAGTATTTCGGAGACCCACAGTCACTTACCATCTGATGCTGCGCGGTGCTGAGCGCATTCTGCTTCCATGAATGCAATGGGCGCTGACGATGCTCAGCACCTTGTGGGACTGAATTTATTGTCAACATTTTATACCATGTTCTAGGTGTTAGTTGTTTGGCAGATCAGCAGTTTGAAGTGCTTTATTTTTAATATTCTAAACATTTTGACTGCATTAAAGAGATGGAATCAAATCATTGTAAAATGAACACATTTACAAATATCAACAAAATAGCATCGAAAGGGGGAATATACTTTAGTTACGATTATTTTAACTTTTCAGAAAAGGTTTTACCCCCAAAATCAATAACCATTGTTTGAAAAAAAAATTTTTTTCAGAAACTTTATCACATGTTTAGTATACACTCGCTGTCACATTGCTGTGTTCTTGATTAAAAACCTCTCTGACATATGGAGCTGTGTGCATTTATTTTCAATGTTATAATTTTTGTTCATAAATAATCTGTAAATCAATCCCTTAAATAGGACGGAGCATGTGGTGCACGTTTTATGAAAGAATCTACACGATAAATTACATGAAGATTAGTAAAAGAAACATATTTTGAGTTATTAAAACCTTGGAGTGCAATTCACAATCCGATAGGGTTACATGGCCACAAACAAACCCCTGCTGGTCCTCACAGAATGGCCTTGTCACTTTGCCACTCAGCCTAAAACATTGCGTGATGTCCTCATTCTTTTCCCATCTTTACAACTAGTCATTCACATTATTCATCGTTACACTATACAGCCGAGTCTCCACTATGTTTTCTCACTTTCTCCCCCACACCCACAGGGAAACATTCTCTAAATCTGAAGGCAAAGTTCATCTGTGGAGCTGCCTTGCTTCTATGTCATCTGCTATACCTCCCTCCGGAGCTCTACAAGCATCCAGTTTTAATTTAAACCGAACCGGTCTAATTAGTTCCTTACTAAAAACAGCCTCGGCTCCAAATCTAATGTCCCTGGGTTCAAAAATAGTGGTATTCATTGGAAGGAATATGGCTGAGTTACAACGGACTTCAGACCCCTTTTTATAGATGGAGGGTGTTTTCTAATGAGACCAAGCTCTAGCTAGCAATGTGTATAAATAAAATACAAAAGCACTCCCCTGATTTAACGTTCATTTTGTTTACTCTGACATTTCAATTGTAAACAGTTCTTTATTTCTCAGAAACAAGATTGAAAATTAAACTTCTCATTCTGATACTTCTAAAATACTATTGTTTTCCTTTTTTTACATCACGAAGTTTACAATAACTACAAAACGACTACTGGAAGGTAAAGACACATTTTTGCTACCGTAGTGGCACCCTATACACTCTAGTTGGAGATAGCATCTGACTTGGAGAAAGGGGGTTGTCAGTTTATCTTTTCTAAAAAACTCTAAAGTTTACTGAGCATAGACAAAAAAAGGGCTGTACATTAATAAGGATCCTCATATTGAAAAAACATTACATTAGCAATGTGGTTTCAGAAATGACTTGTGGTTCCCTATCAGTAGTCTACCAACAAAAACTAGTGTTAAAAATTTCCACGTTTGTGAATGTGTCAGTTTAATATTTACTAAGAAATCCAAAATAGTGTAGTGTACAAATTAGAACGAAATAATATTGAGATAGTTTTTGGGTCCTGCTGATAGAAGCAGAGATTAATATAGCATTTGAGGAATGGGGAATAAACAACGTAGCACTGAGATGAGCACACAAATAGTAACACATTCAGCAAGCACAGACTAAATATAATGAAAAGAGCACAAAATAGATAACTATACAGGGATAAACAAAGAACAGGCAATGTACAAATACAAATTTGGGGGGCTGAGCCTATCCAAAGGGATTACACTGCTTTTAGCAAGGTTGCTGGATTTGGCCTTTGTTTTGCAATTGACTTCAGGACAATGACAGTGACTGCTGAATTCCATTTGAGCCAGGACAAATTTTAAAGTATTGTTGTATGGAACCAATATAATTAAAACTATTTTAGCATCTTTGTAATAGAATGAAATAATCTCAGGACATAAAACTGGTTAACAGAGAATGAACTGTCCAATACTAATGCAGATAAAAAAACCCATTATGTGATTATGCTGGAAAGGTATAGAATCAATTCTTAGCATTCGGCATATTAAAATGAATTCAGCATCACTATTAATATAGTAAATGACTGCGTATTTAACTAAATGAATTAAATTTCTTCCTGTGGTAATCTGTGCAACTAGAGGAATGAAATACATGTTTTATTCTATGGTGGGATAATAAATGAACTTACTATTAAGTGCCAATGCAAGGCTCATTAATGCAAAGTCGCAAGAAATCATTGAAAAAATATATTTTTCAAGCTTTTAAAAATATAACGCACAGAAAATTATCTAATTTTAAGAGGTTTGGGCATATCACTGAACAACTAAAAGCAGACATGCATTGTTATTATTTACTTACTAAACTGGTGAAACTCCCACCAAAAAGCCAGGAAAGGAAAAGCTTCTGTATTTTGCTTTGTAGAGACTGTTGTATTTTACATGATGGAGGGGGAGGGGGGTGAAGACATTTCTCACCATGGAACCAGAAGCCAGGCTGAAAAATCTGCCCCACAACAAATGCGTTCAAAATGCCGGATTTGCTTCCAACCCCCTCGAAAGAGAGAGTTAGATGAAGTCGGGTCTCAGAGGGGTACCCTGGCTGAACCCAGCCACCCTGGTCTGCCTGGGGCAGGTCTGAGCAGCCCTTCGGGGCGGGCCACGGCAGGCGAGCAAACCCGCGGGGGAGCGGCGGGGGGAGACGCGCAGCTCCAAAACCGTTAGCTTTGCTCTACGGTTTCTTTTCCCTTTCTCTTCCTGTCCAAATATTTTAAATTTCCGCGCCTTAAATAACAGTCTGATTTATTTATTTAGTTTCCTCCGCCGGCCTTTCTGCGTCTTGGTTTCAGCCCCCCCCCCATGCCTGAGGGGCTCCGCGGTCACCCCTCTCCCGCACGCCGACCCCCTTTCTCAGTGGGCTCCGCAAGCCAAGCGGGCTGCGCCTGCAGCCTGAGGGAGCGGACGGGGCGACCCCCACCCCGGCTTTCAGACAGCTCGTGTTCATTATTTTTTTCCGCCGCCGAAGAGAAGGTGCTGCGTCCCCGATTTATAGCCCTGATGCCTCCGCAGCGAATTAGTAGGGTGAGTATTTTAAGGGGAAGCTGTACACGCGGCGGGAATGCTGATGACACTGGGAGGGTGCAAATGTGACGGCTGCTCTTCCTTCTGCAAGTTACAAAGCCCTGGGCATTTGCGAGCATCTCCCACAGTCTCCTCTTGAACGCTGGGTTCCCACCCACCTACCCCCAGATTTCGAGGCGGCAGAAGCATCTCTGTTCAAGGTACCCTTTATGCCACATGGAGGTAGTAAGGAGATGGGTTTGGGTTCAGATTTCCATAGAAGTGGGGACTGACGTGTGTTTTCCTGTTCCTGGTTTTCAAGACCTTCCATAATGTGCTAAAATCATCTGCCGCCGAATGAGAAAAATATTCCCTATGTTTCTTAGTCTCTTGACTAGAAAGTGAAAGAATCGACCTTTAGAAAGAATGTTAACTTTATTTTATTTGACTATAACCAGACGTGCCAAATCTTCCCCTGGAGAAGTAACTTCCATGGTGCTGCAAGATAAAATAAGCCTCTGAGGTGGCACCGAAAGTAATCTTTAGTATGATTTTAACCGTGGAAGAAAGCTACAATAATAAGGCTTCGCTTATTTAAAAGGACTATAACTGGATAAATTATAATGATAAACGCGGGTTCTACGGTCTGTGCTTTTAAGACTATTTTAATCGCCTTCTTTAAGGGCAGGATCATTCACATTTTCTGCGAAGTTGGTCTTAATAAGCAATCAGGCACACTGGATATTTTTAAATAATCTTGACTTTTCAGTGTTGCTTCCAGTAAAAGCGAAGAAGTACTATGAGAAAACTAATCATGGCACCTGCAAAAGCACAAGTCAAATGTATTTATTTTGTCACCTGTGCTGTAAAATGGCTTCAGAACCAAACAGACACAAAATGAATGGAGAAAAGGCAGAGTGTGAGGGGGATGCTAACTCAGCTCTTTTAGTACAGATAGGACATTAAGTTCACTGATTCAGCCCCAAACCCACTTTATTAGTCCATCTAGTCAGCTCTAGCCAAGTAAGTACTGCCGCAAAGAGGCACTGTTCTCCCTGAAAAAAATATTTGAAGAGTATAATATGCTTTTCGGGTGGAAGTA